CCCCCCCCCAAATCCAACACACTCTGAGATGCAGTTAGCCTCAGGCAAGCTTAAAATAAGTTCACCCAGAGGAGAACACTGATTTTTTGGCTATTGCCAGCAGGCCTGATGGCATGTAGAAAAACTGCCTTCGCAGGCAATGGTGCATGAGAGGAGGCATCCAGGGCTTGGCTGCGGAGAGGCTGGGGGGATCCCTCGCAGACACCCTGTGCGGCACAGTCGCAGAGCTGTGGTCCCAAATGGGGACTTAGCACTGCCCGTGACGTACGGTTTTCCTTGAGATGATGCAGTTTGCAGAATGCTGGATTGGACAAGGAGGTCAAGAAGCTCCAAAAGACCAGAGTCTCTGGCATTGCACTGTGTGGCTCAGCGCAGCACAACCCTCCAGAAATTCCAGCCGCGTTAAGCTCAGAAGCGGCAAGCAACCAAAGTCTTCCAAAACTCATCTCAGAGCGAGGGCCTCTCAATGAACCAGTCTAAAAAGATATAGAGAAAACAAACAAACAAACAAGACCACCTCAGGCTAGAGTTTACCTGTTGCTGTAAGGTCATCCCCGCTAGTCACTGTCCTGCACTCCCTGGGCAGTTTGTCTGGTCACTAGCTGGATGTACAAGGTAGTCTGCAAGAGAGCAGACCCCAGGCGCACACCCAGAGGCTTCCAGGAGCTTCTTTAGTTGTATGTAACTTATCCTCATCTGCCACACAAAGCAAAGGCCCAAACTCAGCTCACTTCACATAGCCCATGGGTGATTCGTGCAAGGAAGTCTGGCTGTGCCATCATCGTACGTGGCAGCAATTCTCTAATGAGTGGAAGAACTCATGAAATAAATAGAAAAGTACAAAGCTAGCATTTGCTAGGATGTTCTCTAGGCTTTTTATAGAATAATCTTGTTGGGATTTTTTTTGTCTACAGTCTGTATTTACGTCAACAAACAAGCAAACCTGGGGCCGTACCTTGACAGGAAAAAAGTGCAGCAGCTCCCAGAGCACTTTGGTCCGGTGCGGCCGCCGGCGGCCCTGCAGCAAGCGGTACAGGCCTGCATCGACTGCGCCCTCCAGCAAAAGGCAGTCTTCTCGCTCATCAAGCCGGGCTATGGAGGCGAGATGGTGTCAGGTAAAGCATTTTTGTAAGGGGTTTGTGGCCACCTGGGAAGTGCTTGAGACCTTAACCTGATCCCCAGTGCTGATTGTCCCAGCAGTCCCGTTCGCATCAGCGGGCTGGCAACCAGCTTTGAACATCACTTACACCTCTGTACAATGAGCGGCTGCAGGAATTGCCCGAGTGTCAGATGAAAGTCTGTTGGTGAGGAGCATGGCAGTGATGGTTCAGGGGAGGGACAGGGCTAGCTCCAGAGCCCTGTGCTCACTGCTCTTTGAAGCAGTGCTGAGTCCAGGCCTGTGAGCTGAGTTTTTCATGCATCCATACAAGCCCGCTTCATGCCACGGGGTTGCTCTAAAGGAAAACTCATAGAGAGTTCAGCTGCTGCTGTGTCCTCCACCTGCAGTTCATGAGCCAAATCTGTTCTCAGCTGTAGGAACTGCAAGAGGCCCATGGCAATTCCCCATACAGCAGGACTACAACTACATCAGAGAGAATCAGAGATCATAGGGAACTTCCCAGGAGCCCCCCATCTTCCTGCAGTGACACTTCTGGCTGTGTCCTGGTGCATCTCCCATGTCCCATGCTGAATCCCCTGGCCTAGCTCTCAGCCTGAACACAAACTTTTCTTTTAATGACAGCAAGAGTTTTGTGTCACAATATTTTTTTAGCATGTGAGGTTGCAGTGGGAATGAAACAATAGTGGGAATATAGGAACAACGCTCCCCAATGAGCTGCCGCAAACGAGTCAGGCACGAACATGAAGCAAAGGAACACAAGTCCAGTCAGTTCTGCAGGGACCACAGCAGCTCAGCTGTGCCATTGGGACCCTCTTGTGTGGCCCTCTGTGCAGCATATAAATCCTTCTTCCTATCACTCCTCTAGTTCTCTCTAATCACAGGTGTGCCTTCCCTAAGGGACATCAGAAATTCTCTTAAGAATGATCCAGATTTGTTCACAGAAACATGAGACTGAAGCAATTTAGAGTAAAGCTTAATTTTTGCCTAGTTCTGTGCTGCATATATGATTTTCACTGCAAGCAGGAGAGTCATGTTGTGCACCAAGCCTGCCAAACCCCTTGGTCTCAGTTCCTCTGAGCTGACTTGGCTTTAGGTACCTGAGCTAAAAGCATCTGGTCAACATTGCTCCCAACTTCATGCCTCTTCTAATCAGGGAGGGGTCAATGGACTCCTAGTCATGGTGTGGCTCTGAGATTGTAACTCACCCCCCGCCCAGCAGCACTACAGGCAGATTTTTGCAATTTATACTCATTAGTGGTGAACGAAGGTGTAGAATTGGAAAAAACCTCCCAGATGATGAAGTGCAGGTAGCCATATCATGTAGTTCTCCCTGCAAAACTCTTGACACTTGGATATGTCCTGCTACAATTGATCCCGGTGGGTCTGTTGTGACCCTTCCACATCTTTCATAGCTGGGACCTATGCCCTTTTTTGATTCCTGGCTAAATACATTCCCTGACAGCTTTGTCCAGGAATTTTAATTGCTCTGCTCTCACCCTTGAGTTCAATCTTAGATGTATTTCTAGAGAGCAGTCCTCGTCCTGCTAGACTGAAATTCACAGTTTCTTTCAGGTCCTTTCTGCATTGTGAGGAAGACTACTGGATTAGTGAAAGTAGTGCAAGTGTCTTCCCACAACCCCATGTAGCAGAGAGAGTGATGGATGCAGTGCCAGAGGGCAACTTTCTGTTCCCTGAACATCACTGTGGCTTCCCTATGCACCCCTTCAAGTGTGAATTCATCCTTCTCGAGCCTGGATAACCAGAATGGTGCTCATCAGTCCCGCTCAGGTTTTGCTCGTGGATTTGACACTCCCTTGTCTCTCCTGGAAATGCTTTGTTCAATACCTACCTCAATATCTGACTTTTTAATTGCTGTGTCACCTGGGTGACTCACGGGCATCTGGTGAGCCAGTCCCATCATTTCTCTTCCCATCAGGTCATGTTGAGCCTCCTCAAAAAAATATGGATTGCCATGTACTTTCTAGTGTTTTTTCCACCAATTTTTATTATTGCAGTGCTCAAGATCAACTAATCCTTTCTGTGCAATGTCCCAGTCCTCTTCTCCATTGATAATGCCTTGTAGCTTACAGCATCAACAGAATTTTTTTCTGCTGACACAGATCACTGCTGGTTCTTCTCCAGTGCTTGGGATCTCCTACCAGCAAAGCCTGTTGTCATCTCCTGACCCACCTTCCACATGGAATAATTTCCAGTTTAACAAAAGGTTTTCATACTTTACTTATTCCAGATAGACAACAACTGCCAACCTTTTCTTGCCTATAAATGCAATTAAAGCAGTAAATAAAGATCCATGATGAAGTCGGTAGCCCTCTCTTCAGTACAACACTGGAACCCTTTATTCATTCACAACCATGTCTTTAATTCTTGTCTCCCCATTATCTTTTAAAGCCTTGGGTATTGCTGAAGTCAGCCTAATAGCCCATCACTGGCAGATCACTTTCTTTCCCCTTCCTTAGACCAGGGTATCATAATGGCTTCTTTCCAATCACACAATACAGTTTTCAGTTGGATGCATATATTAGAAATCCTTGCACTGCTGGCCATGCCAGTCAGCACCTTTCAGCATTCCAGGGGGAAGGTGATCTGGGTCACACAGACTCAGCTCCTTAAGTTCCTCCACTTTGTTTTGTACTTCAGGTGGTGTAATTATGTAAAATAGTTTAAGACATACAAATACTCGTATTAAATCTTTTCCCCTGCTCTCATTCTTCCTCCTGCTGTGCATCCCCAGGTATTGAATTGCTCCTGCTTGCTTTCCAGTTTCAGCTTCTTTTGAGGGTAAGCAGCATCTCCTGAACCTGCTGGTAGTGAACAGTATTGGGTATGTCCTGCGCTTCCTGAAGAAGCTCTGTCGCAGCCTCTTGTGTGACAATCTCTTCAGCAACCAGCCTTTCCAGCAGTACAACGCCGTGTCAGAAAGCCCAGAGGTGTATGAAAACAGACGGATGGAGGCAGGTAGGCTGCTTGATCAGTTTGATCTCAAGATTTTATATTGCAGAAGAAATGGCTTTATCTTTTTGGTCCTTTACTGTATATGGTAGAGAACTGCAGATCCCTGTGGGACATTTCTAGAGCAAGGCAAAGGGCTGACTTGCAGTATTTTCCCCAGTGGCTACAGAGGAGGTTTTGAGGTGAAAACTACTGTCTTTAGGAACTCCAGCAGTGACAGGGATAATTTTGTTATTATTTTATATATCTTTGTTTCTTTTATCTCTTCTCCTAAAGCAACAAATATAAACAAATATAATATATATCATATAAACCCATTGCCCTTGTTTCTGTCAATTCTCTCACATAACTTTTGGCCTCCTGGCCCTGGGGTAAAAGCCTCAAAGGAATTAAGTTCCACCAAGTTTCAGGCAGGTGAGAAGGTAGAGGGGAAATTTCTCTCTCCTTCCACTCAACCACCATATTAGACACTGAAGGTTCCCCACTGAGTACCGAGTCTCCTCTGCTTTCAGACTCAGCGCAGAGTGTTACCTGTCCCTGCTCTCCAGACATTTCTGCTCATGCACTGCCTTGGCTCACTGGGTGCAGTGAGAGGTAGGAGGCCAGGTGAGCGTGTGGACCCCAGCCCCCACTTTGGTGTCACCATTGCACTAATAGAAAATCACTATTGTAATGGGTGTGCTGTGACCCAGCACTGCCCCAGCACTTCGTTACCTGCGTGCTTCCCTGCTCACATGCTGCTCATTTTAAGGACGATCTGCAGAGCAGCACGGTCTGCCTTCACTCGAGGGGATCTCTTACCAGGAGAGAGGAGAAAGCTGCTCTCAGCAATGCAGTTCTGGGTCACTGCTGTTAGCATAAATCTAAGGTAATGTTATTAGCTGGAGAACACTCAGCCTGGATCCCGATCTGTCACCAGCACCCATGAGTGTAAACCTAAATGAGAGCCATTACTGCTAAGGGGTTTGCTTTGCTACTTGTGGGAGTGTTTTTCCTAGTTTGAAATGCCTGTGGGCACGAACATGGTCCCTGCCTTAGTGCTTGACCACGTGGGGCAAAGCCTGGAGGGGCTGTGGTGTGGGGCAGACGCACCCATGGATGGTGGTGGTCCAGAGAGCCACCTGCCCTGAGCAGCACCAGGCTCCCAGGTGAATGGCACACCTGGACTTTCTTCTTACACACACCCCAGCGTGCTGGGACGAGGTTCTGACCCTCGGGCGCAGCCCCCGTGGAGCTGGGATATGCCTGCAGCCCCCATCTACAATCAGTAGCTGGAGAGCTGCCCTGGGGCCCTACTACAGACATTGCAAAAGTTTAGAAAAAAAAGAAAGATGCAGAGTTACGGCCCTGAACCTCTGCTTCACCTGCAGGCTTCCTCCTGACTTAAAATTATTTTTCCTTCTCTCTTATTAACGACACTGTGGGTGTTTGGGGAGCACAGTCTCTCATGCATTCAATTTAATGGCAGATACATGCTGGCAGCTGAGAGAAAGGTGTTTTAGTGTCCACAATTATCAACCATGAACTGCTTGTTTGCCAAGAAGACCCTAAGTGTGTGCTTCACACACCAAAGCTGGGAGTGGGCTGTGTACACAGCGCAGAAATTGCACTTTTGTGCAAAGAAATCCAGCTGTCATTCTTACGTACAGGGGAGGAAAGGCAGGAACCCAGACTGAAAAGCAATATTTTTTTTCCTCTGGACTAGGACATGTTTTTGAGAGGTCAAGGGATTTCTGTAGCACTGAATGAGTGCAGCCCAGGAGGCCTGGCATTTGTGTTTGCATTTGCATTTTAATTTGCATGTACATTTGCATTTACTTTTGCACGGCAAGGCTGTATGTGATGGAAGGCAACTCCACAACTGGAGCATCACCCTCCCTACATAATTCAGTGCAGATGTCCCTGACACTGGGTCTGCCCAGCCACCAAGGAAGAGGCAAAAATAATATTTTATTATTGCAGGCCATTATTGCCTTTATCCCCAGGCACGAGCTATGGATGTTAGGGAGGGCTTTTCTTCCCTGGCTCTCCCACTGCTGGGGGGCAATTAATAGCCTCCCTGAAGGCACCATGGGCTGCTGGGCAGGCTGGGCTAGTCAGGGCTGGTGCTGGCCTGGGCTCTCCTCCCCTCTGCCTGGGAGTGTGATGGGGGAAGAGGCAGTGGGTCTTGGAGCTTTTATATCTCCATCACCAGCAGCACTGTGGTACAGTGGAGAATGTGAGCTGTGAAATAGCTGAGGGCAGTGGTTATACATGGGGTTAAAACTCCCCCACCAGGCTCCAGCTTGCTCACCCTGGGGTGAGCCACTGACCAGCTCAGCAGTGAGCCATAGAGTGGATCAGCATGACCTGCAGAAATTTAGGTGCTTCCCTGTTGAAGTGGAGAGGTGGGAGAGGTGATGGAAGAGCCACCCGGTCCCGCAGTGAGGGATGCTGTAATGAGCAGTGCTGTTTCCAGAGCAGCTGGGTGCTCAGGTGGCTCTCTGAGCTGACAGTCCCAAAAGAGGACTCTTCTTCCACCAAAGATTATAGAAATATGGTGAGACAGGATTTGAGGATACTTTCAGCACTCTGCTGACCACTGACCTGGTGTACCAAAATTGGTGAATCTGCGTTGCTCTGCTGAAACCTGTCAATGGGCCTGGGGTGGCTGGGAGGAAGCTCAGCATCTTCACCAGCTAACTCACTGTCTCATTGTGGGCCCCAGGATGCAGGCTGGAGAGCCAGGGGCTAGTTTCAGTGCAGCCAGGTAGTTGTTTGGAAAACCCACCTACAAGAGTACTACTCGGCCCCAGAGTGCACATGACGGCATGGAAAGGAAAATTAACTCTGCCACAAAAAGCCCTTGAAATGGGGAATTTTGGAGAGGGGGAAAACTGTCTCTTCCAAAGGACAACTTGTGCCCAGCTCAGGAGCTGTCTGTCCATGGCTGTGTGGCAGAGGAGCTGGATTGATGGCCTTGCACTCTTCATGCTGTGCTCAGCCAGAGACAGGCAGATAAGTAATATTCCTGTTCATCATGTCAGGCTCAACAGCTCCGTTGACACCAGTGGAATAACTCCAGTTTTAGGCACTAGGGCTTGAGCCACTGAGTCTATGTTTAATGCTGCATTGCCTGAATCTCCTTCCATCTCTCTAGGAGCCAGCATTTCTCTGCAGCAAGGTCAGCAAAAGGGGGGACCTCTGCTACACAGAAGAGAGACAGGGTTTCCCCTGTAGTGGCAATAATAAGGAAGACAGTAGGAGATCTTCTTGCAGACGGGTTTGTGAGGGCGCCTGTTGGGATAGAGCTCGCATGGAAGGAGCAGGGCCGTAATAAAGCACTGCAGGAAGCCATGCAAAGCAGCCACATTTTTCATTGTTTCTGTTCTCCAGCTTGTAATCAAGATGTTCTTTCTTTTAAAATAACGTGCTTTTCAGCCCCTGTGTACCAATGAATTTAATACATGTATTGACTTTGGTGTAGTTACTCTTGATTTACACTGGCAGAAGTGAGAGGAGAAGCCGGCATCACGTCCAGTCATATTAATCCACTTACACCATATAGGAGTCACCTTTTAACCTTGCCCCAAAGCACATGCCCCTAAGCCATTATTCACCTGTGCTCACAGCAAACTGCCAGATGCTAATGGCTGTGTACAGGCCAGGTGGGAGTTGGTGACATATGCGTATGTCACTTACAGCCATGTTTTACGCCTCTAAGAAGTACGCACCCACCGTGCTGTGCCGAGCACCGGCCTCTGCAATGGGCCTTATTGACTGTGCGTTACGCTCCCTGCCCCTGCGCCCCTGTGCTCTGCCTACCCTGCCAATGCCTTTTGCACTGGCACCCACCAGCCCCACATGTGGGGCCAGGGTCCTTCTCCAGCCCTCTCCCAATGTCAGTGGCTTCACTGCCTTGTCTTGGCACATTTGGGGACATATCCCACAGCTCTTTCTCAGCTGGGAGAGGACTTTCTGGTTCATGAGAGCAATTTGTGGGGAGCAGCCCTTGGGATGACTCCCAGGACTTTATCTGGGAATTGCCCTGCATTACAGCAAATCCTGAGATGTTACCTGTCCCCACAGCACCTGGGTTCAAAGCACCTCTGGACCTGCACCCCAGAATTTTCCATGAGAGAGGTAGTGCAGTTCAAACTAAAATGATTGCAAGATCTGGGTGAGCTCTGCAGAAAATGCTATGAAGTGTGTCAGAGGCTACATGGATGGGAAGCTAACAGAGATCCTGTGAAGTGCCTCCATCCACACCCTCTGCATTCAGCTTTCATTAGTCCACCCATGCTGAGCTAGTGGAGGCTTGGATGTAAGCATGTGAAAGGGACATTTCTGGAACACCTACATACTGTTGACGTGCACCTATGCAATGTTGGACTGTTATTTTTCAGAGGAAAGCATGTTCGCTATAAAACTTCTTACCAACATTATAGTTGGCACAGAAATTGAAACAGTTTTTCTTATGTGGGAAGCATCAAACTTGAAAAGCATCTTCTTTTTTCCCCTTTCAGTCAATCCTTTCTATGCTCTTTCTGTCCTGAACCTTGGGTTTTAGTTATTTTGTTCTGTTAGACAAGGACACTTGTGGCCCCTCTGTATCCTTGTCCTCATCAGGAAGGAACACAAGGCAGGATGGTCTGTGAATAGGGTGTCCAGCCTTGCTCATCTCCCCGCAGCCAGGTCAAACTTGTATGTGTAGATGCCATATGACGACCCCCATCCCTGGCCACAGAAGAACAGCACCTCTTCTCATGGCAGTGGCTGGAGGTAGGGCCCCATATGTAGCAGAAGCACAGCAGGAGGTAGAGGT